GGTTTCACTGGAAGGCGTCCATTTTCCAGGGAATCACAACGACCCAGGAATGGTGAACCCCTGGCCAGCCACCTGGCTCCAGCCTTCGGCTGCTGAGTCCTTGTCCCTGCTTCACGTGGGGCCTCATCCTGCCTGGATGTCCCTCCTGGAGGGAGGCCAGACCGCCCGTGAAGCCAGAGTGGATAATTTGCTGGCAAAGGAGCAAATGCCATTTCACGGTGACACAAAACAGTCACTTCCTCATTCACCGTGCTCAGCCCAGACACCTCTCCTGGCTCGGGGTGGGTGGCAGTGGCCAGGGACACCAAGATCCCTTGGCTTGTGTTTCTCCCTCCCCTCTCTTGGTCTACGCTGGAGACCCAAAAGACCCTACAGCAGCCATGCTGGGGCAGAGCAAGGTATGGATCCCCCCTGGCACCCCTCCCTACCTCCTCCCCTGCTTGGAGCATCCTCATTTGGGGTATCCTGCCCCCCCTGTTCCCCTGCCCCATCCTCACCCAGGCTGGAGTCCCCCGGAACCCCCTACCGAGGCAGCACGGTGGCTCCCACCCACGGGGAATGGCATTTGGGAAGTATTTCCTGTGATACTCAGCTCCCCGGGGTAATATTTCACCAGCAGATGGGACCTGGGCTCTGCCCAAGCCCAGGTGCCCTGAGTGCCTGGCTCCACCAGGAGCCCTGATAAGATGGGCTGCGAGGACCGGCAAACACTCCAGCTTTCGGCCCACCCAAAGCCCGACCTGGGGAACGACTTGCCCCCTGGGCTCGCTTTTTCTTCTGGGGCAGCTATTGTAGTTAAATCCTCACCTTTTCCCACCTCCATCCTCGCTACAAGTGCAAACACTACCATCTGTAACGCCGCAGCCCCTGCAGTTGGTAATATGGCGATTCGGTAATGCCACGATTTGGTAATGTTACGATTTGGTCACAAACTGTCCAAAGCCCCGGAAGTCCTCCCCGCTCCCAGGGGATGCAGCAGCCTCCGCAGCCTCCCAGGCAGAGGCACCTATAGAGGGACCGTATCCATCCCGGGCGATGCTCATGAGCTGTGCCCCGGCTCAGCCCCGGCAGAGTGTCTCAGCAAAATTGAGCCGAGCTGGAGAAGGCGATGTCGGAGAGGGAAGCTCCTGGGGCGCAGGAGGAGAGGGGAGCAGGACATACCTTTGGTGTCGTCCAAGGTCTCTGGAAGGGGAAAGAGCCGCGCCTGCATTTATGGGGAGGGATATGCTCACCTTGCCAAGTGGTCGCCCAGCCAAGGAGCGTGCAAGGCCGCAGGCTCCATATGGCATTTTTCACAGAAATAAAGGTCTCCTCAGTGAAGAAAACAACCTTTTCAACCAGTGCCAACACCTCCCGCCACAGGTAAGGCTGAAAATGTGCCCGAGTTGGTAAAAACACCGACAAGAGATCTGCAAGGTGTAAGCAAATCCCCAATACGGGGCGTGGGCAGCTCTCAGTCATCACCAGCTACGATTTCTCTTAGAAAGCGTTTATTTCACCAATACCAACCATTCCCATCTAGCACCCCACAAGCTGGTTTCAGGCGAGTGTGCTGGGACCAGCAGGATGCCGGTGCTGGGGGTTGAGCGCAGCCGGTGCATCCCGGTGTGGCCCCACCAGCTTTGGTCTTTGGGTGTGGAGCCGAGCCAGGAGTCCTGAAAAATGACGTGGCCCTGCTGCAGCACCTGTCCCCAGTCACCTGGGGCAGGTCCTGTCCCCGGGGGAAGGGGGCCCATGTGGTGCTGGGGAATGGTGGCTCCCCACACCGCATGCTCCCACATCGCTTGGCTGATGTCCTGGCGCTCCCTGGCCTCCAAAGGCAGCTGCTGTGTTTCCCAAGAGGGCCAGGCTGGGCCCCCGCAGTGCGTGGTGCTCCTTAGGGGCTGGGGGGACCCTGTCAGCGCCCCCCCCGGGGCCAAGCCCCGCCAGAGCAGGGCCAGGGCCTACACCCTGCTCCCCACAGTGGGATCAAGGCTGGGCCTGGACCCCCCCAGCAGGGCTGCAGCTCCCCAGGTCAGCCCCCCAGGGTCAGTCTCCCTTCAGGCCAAGACCCCCCCAAGGGCCAGCCCCCCACCCAGGCCAAGACC